CTGATCCTGATGGCCAGCTCTAGGGCTCGGCAGACCCCCATGAGTTCTGCATCAAATACCTCCTTCCCCTTTCCTAGGGGGATCTCCTGGGATTGCCAGGCTCCCTGGGGGTTCTGCCATGCAATTCCTGCCCCTGTACGCCCATTCTCTAGCCGTGAGCCGTCCGACCATAGGGTGAGCCCTGGGCGGGCTCTCTGGGCTGCCTGGATTGCTTCTTCCATTGGCAAGACCTTGATCTGGCCTGGGAATGGTCCTGCAGGTGTCCACATAGTTTCTTCAAAGCCCTCAGACGGGTCAACTGGCAGGGTCCCTGCTAGTCGCCGTGCCAGGTGCTGCCCTAGTGACCATGGGCCCCGACTGCTGGTTTCTGCCCATGCCCGATCCCTTAGTGGCTGCTCGCCAGGCTGAGCGTGCTGATCCCCCTCCCAGAGAGTGATTGGGAGAATTCGTTTTGCTAGGTGATCTCGAGGTAGGCTGAGCAGCCTGATGGTGTACCCTAGTTGCCGGGCCTCCAGTAGGGTCTCTGCTGGCTCTAGGCCTGCCTCTCGCACTAGGGGCCCTATGGGGGTGGTTCGGAACATGCCTGTGATAGCCCGGGCCTGCCGGTTGACCAGCTGTTGCAAACCTGCCAACCGGTCTTTTTGACCCTGCCACCAAAGCTCTGCCCCATATAGGGCCACTGCCTGTACTGCTGCCACTTGAATCCTCCGAACCAAGCCTGGAGGTAGTCCCTGTTGCCGGCATAGGGACTGTACTCGCGCTTCTGCCATACGGGCCTTCCGTAGGCGTGTTTGGTAGTGGACCTTGAAGGTAAGTCCTGCATCTAACCATATACCTAACCACCGGGTGGCTTCCTGGCTGAATGAGACCTGGTGCCCACCAACTAGAATCCTGGCCCGTTGGACCTGATCCCTAAGCTCTCGTCCCCGCTTGCGAGTAAAGAGTACTGCCTCAGTCTTCTCAGCGTCGAATTGGACTGCATTGGCCTGTCCCCAGGTTATGGCAGCGTCCCCCGCCTGCTGTAGCAGCCTGCAGGTCTGATCTACTGAGCTCCCTAGGGCTATAAGGCCTATATCGTCTGCAAACGATAGGGCCCGTATCCCTGGGACAGCTGCCTCTATAGCCCCAAAGACTCCGCTCAGGTAGATCACAAACAGTATGGGGGATACTGGGGATCCT